TGCATCCGTATTATTCTTTCAACAAAATTGTAGTTCCGTCATTCAGCCTATGGATATAGGAATAGTGTGTATGGTGAAATGCAAATATAAAATAGAATTTTTAAAAGCCATATTAAATTTCTTGAATAATAAGTGAAAGTTAATGCATCCGTATTATTCTTTCAACAAAATTGTAGTTCCGTCATTCAGCCTATGGATATAGGAATAGTGTGTATGGTGAAATGCAAATATAAAATAGAATTTTTAAAAGCCATATTAAATTTCTTGAATAATGGGCAAATTATTCAAGAATTTGTGAAATATTTTAGCATAAAATCTGCTTTGTAGATCACTGCAAGGTCGCGGGAGGATGTGTCTCCAGATACTTTAAAAAATGCTTGGCCTAATTTATGGCCAGCTACTATATTTCATAGTTAGGATGATGAATATGAGAGCCACAAATGTGAAGGCTTTTGGATATCACAAACCAAAGGTAAAATTTTCCAATTAACCCCTTCGCGCTGACTGTCACGTCTACGTGCCAGCAAAGAACACACTCACTTCCCGGCCGACACGCAGGCGTGCCAGAGCATTTTCCCGTTCAGCCCCGACTGTCACGTATTAGTGCCAGTGTCCTGGAACATTTTAAAAACTATAATTTTTGCCACAAGATGGCACTGTATGTCCATATGGTTTCAGATACATGTATATTAGACCTTCTACTCAAAATGAGAGAAGCATGACTCACATACACGTGGTTTTGATTATATAAACAAAGGGGGAAATAAATGTTTCTGAACGGCGTGATTTATGACATCTCTTTAAATTCGCATGTGGTAGTTGTTTATTGTAAGTAGAGAAGTTTTATTTTTGCTAAAGCGTTGGGTATTTCGGTTTGCAATTCAGTTTTTAGAAAATAATTAGATCTTGTTAGACGTGAATTCTTTTCTGTTTTTACTGTTGCAATGTGAAGCGTCGAAAATGTTTAACAGAGCATGAAATAGCAGAAATGATGAAAAATATTTCAGATATTGATTCTGAAAGATTAACTGAAAGACATTTTCCAAAACTTTGTTCAGAAGAGACTGATAAGAAAATGAGACGACGATGCTTTGTTTGTTCACATTCCCGGAAAAATCCTCCAAAACGGCAAATGAGTTATTACGAGTGCAAGGAATGTAACGTAGGACTGTGTGTAGATCCCTGTTTCCAAATTTTTCATATGAAAAGAGAATTTTAAGTAATATATTTAATTTTCAGATGTATAATATGTTAAAAGTCATAAAATGGTGAGTAATGAAAATAAAATGTGTAAAATATGCATTTAAACAAGAAATAAGGTAATTAAAGTACATATAAAAATATCTATAAAGCATAAGCCATTTAAATACTATATAGAGCATTATTAAACAATGCGTTGATACTTCGGAAATTTCATGAATTTAGGCTTAATAGAAAAAAAGCCCCAGGCCCTGGACAGACACTCGCGTAAGACACTGCCGGCCTCCGCAATAGGTGCGTGTTTGCGCTACCAGCCGCGAAGGGGTTAATGGATTGTGTAAGGAAATGTGGAGAAGCGGTAACAAATGAAGATGATATAACAGAAGGTTTTTGTTGTGTTGACAATGGCCCAATCATCAATAAAATTAATGGATGGCAAAATCTGCAGTATGGTTCTAAATCCAGAAAATACCGATAGTAAAAACAGTGACAGAGAGGTTAGTGGAAACGAAAACAATTTCTATTGACAAGTTAGTCGGAATTCTCGGCCCAGCAATGTCAGGACTTGAACAATAGAACTTTGTAACTGAACAAGAAATTATGTCTGTCAATAGAATTAGAGAAAATATTAACACATAAAAGCAACTTAAACACCTTACATTGAAAGAAATGTTTAATAAAGTAAACAAACATTTAGCCTCTTTTTTTTTTTTTTTTTTTTTTTTTTTTGTAAATTTTGATACTCTTTAGATCGTAAATGCTCTATTATTTCATAAATCACGATTTCATATTTAAATTTTATAATTTCTGCATGCCGTCTTACTAGTTTTAAACTGATGATGTAATATCCGGAAAAATCCCAAATCCAGAATCGCTGAAATTCTGACGAGTCCGGATCTCAGACTTTGTACAGTATAAATTTGAATTTTTTCTTTCCATTATTATTATTACTGGTTATGCATATAGTACGACTTCGCTTAATATGCGACACTTAATGCTGTGTGAGTACTACACGGCACTATTGGGATTCCCCGAAATCGGTATTTCTGAGTTAGTTTGTTGCAATGCAGGCTTAGCCATTCAGCACCAAACTTTGCTTCACAGTGTGCATGACTTGTTAATCTCACTATTGGTCTTGAGGTGGTAAGAGCAACATCATTACAGAACAAACGCATTTTTGCTGCATCACAGTTGATTCATGATCGGTCATCAGTGTTATTGTGCATATAAAGATATAATGTTTTATTTTATTGTGCTAATTACTGAAATTTTTGGGTTTTACAATGGGTGGAACAAAACAAAAAGGTGGAAGAAAACCATTTAGCCAGAAACTAAAATGCAGGGGCTCAGATGATGAAATGCAGGTGAATGATAATTTGGCACTGCATTAAATTTGTCTACTTCAACAATCCACACAATTCTAAAAAAAAGGGAAAAAAATGTATCATTAGCAACTACAACCACAATGAATATTCAATAAAAATTACCAGTTAAAGAAGCAATGTCATTCAGGAAATGGAAAAATGGCTTTTTACCTTGATTGCTGAATTACAATAGAAAAAGCAAGAACAATTTTTAACCATATTCAAAATACAAATGGTGGGCACAAGTGAAAACTTCATGGCTAGTCGAGGATGGTTCCAGTCATTTAAAAACAAAAGGAATCTTCATAATATACAGATTAATGGAGACCTGGCCAGTGGAAATAAAAAAGCAGCTGCTGCTTTTCCAGCAACATTGAGAGCAATCACTGATCGAGAGAATTATCCTTCTGAATTAGTTCTCAATATTGATAAAAATGGGCCTCTACTGGAAGATTGACAAAACATATATTTTTCTTCAGAGAGGAATAGCAATAGCAGAATTTAAAGCTGCAAAAGAAGATCATTTAACACTTCTAATGAGTGCTAAACAGTAACGGAGATTTTAATTAAAACCACTGCTTATTTATCATTCCAAAACTCCAAAAGTGAAGAGGGAATTAAAAATCGTCTTCACCAGTAATTTGGGATCCAATACAAAATCTTTGACCACTATGAAAATTTACAAGAATTGGTTCGAGAATTTTTAACCATTTGTTAAACGCTACTAGGAATTTAAAGAACTAGAACCAAAAGCTTTTTTTTAGAATTAACAACATGCATTCCAGTAAAAATAGTTCTGCTGCCAAATACAACTTTATCACTCCAACCAATAGATCAAGATTTATTCTGATAACTGATAAAATAAATGGAGAAGAAAAACAATCCATTAGATTTTTGGAAAAAAACAGCAATACCATGAATGCTGTAAATAATATCAATCTTTCTTGGAATGACGTAACCAAGAAATGTTTGAAACTACTATGGAAGAATATATGGCTAGAGCTAAGCAAGGGTGTTAACACAAAAGAATCCTTTGTTGATGTCGATGAAAGTGTGAAGCTAGTTAATGAAATAGGGTTGGCTAATATAAAAGTGCAGGATATGGAAGAATTATTGTAAGTTACAACTAGTATAGTCTTTCCAATGATAATCTTAAAGAGTTAGAATAACAACAAGTGCTCAAAGGTGACAAAATAAGCTAAGTTGAAGAGCAAAAGAAACTTCCCAAAAACATTAGCTACTATAATGGAAATTATGGTTCAGCTTTTACAAAATGATTTACTTTTTTGGTAAAAATTCAAAGACAGAGTGTTACTGATGCAATGTTTTTGGTATTGATAACTATTTGTTGAATGAAACCGGAAAAGGGAAACAACATTAGATTATTTTTCATTAAAAAAATTGTCAAATCAGGAAATACTTTCCTCATTACAAACACAACTTCTTTACCTTAACATTTCTTTGATTTTCATGAAATTTTATGAATACAAATTGATATTAGCAATAAATAAGCTCATAATTAAAATAACTAAAAAAATATTTAACTATAAATGTTAGAAAAGAAAACAAACTGGCGAATTTTCTTATTCTTTGTTCTGTTTCACCTATCCCTATTATCTGCAAGTTAAGATGACTTCATTTAACACTGTTTCATTTAGAGCTGAAACTGGTCTGGATATTGGGCATCTAGGTTTCAGGCTTTGTACTCTATTTATCAAAACTTTAAACTAATATTAAATGAGAATAATTATTTGTTTGACAGAATCATTTTTCAACAGAAAAAAAAATTCCTGAACAAAACACAGTTGTTACTGAATGATGCTCCAAAAATAACTTGATGCTATAACAAATTTATGGCCCATCTGAAAGCAGATGGACCAAATATATTTGAGTTTATCTTATGTTCAGCTTGTTTATCTTATGTTCAGCTGAACTATCTTATGTTCAGCTGCGAATGCCACCAGCTAATGTCACATTATTTTGGAACATCGGTCTGCACCACCAGCTGACAGCATATTGCCTTTACTATCAGTTTTGTAAAGTCTGAGTATCATGTAGTAGCTTCTGTGTTTATATGAATAAGTTGTGTTAATAAAGATGAGATTGTTTTAGCAGCATGGACTTGTAAGAACCAATATCGAGTCATCCCGTATTAATAACTGATCAAGGCCAAAATTTTAAATCAGCAATATTATATTTGAAAATAAACAGTACAAAAATAAAATAAAAATTGAATATTTGTTTAATATTGTTACAGGTTTTAAATCATCAACTGCATTTATATTTCACAAGACACAAAATTACAGACACACGTTCACAAACAATGAACTAATAAGATTACTCAAATGTGAAGTCTTAAATAAAATCATCAAGGAGGAAAATTTATAAAATATAAATTCTAATTTATAATGTAGAGAGAGAATTTCTTAATCTTACCATACAACCTTCAGGAGTTTTAGATTCCTTCAATTTTTTGGCTTTCTTCTTTGCTCTGTTAGATCCCCAGTAAGTATAATTGACTGCAGCATATTCAAGAAGCGCAGCAAATACAAACACAAAACACATAACAAGGTAAATATCAATTGCTTTCACATATGAAATTCTCGGAAGTGAGGATCTTACACCAGTACTTATAGTTGTCATGGTCAGCACAGTTGTTATACCTATGTAATTTAAAAAAAAAAAAAATTATTTTCCCTAAAGAAAGTATGAGATTATTATTTGCATTCAGTAATCTACATTGTATTGACATTAACTACCAGCCACTGTCAGGAAATTGCTTGACTGATGCTGCAAAGCACCAGATCTGCCTTTAGCCACTATCACAGCCTCTGACTTCCGAGGAAAACTTCAGATGCCTGCAGGTATTTTTTACAATTTCTGCTGCAGTGTGGTTAATAGTTCTGTGGCAGTGTTAAGACAGTTAGAACTAGCTCTCACCTAGCAATCTAGTAGGTTGGTTGGTTGCTAGATTTCTGGCATATAACCTTAAGGTTTATGATATGCCAAACATGGTTAAACTATTAAACAGAACAATATTCTAAAATCAACTTAAGTAATAACAGCTGACAATTAAGAAAGAACCAAAACAAAAATATAAAATCAACAAATATCAGATACTCATGAATGCTGATTAATTATGTGAAGGAGGAATTATGCAATTCACACGATGAATTCAAGTATAAAACCAGGTACAATCATGTAAAGTATATTAAGTTTAAAACCATATCAGACTAAGTAATAAAACCAAATTTATTTTAAATACTGAAATATATTAGAATTGAAGTTTTATTCGATTAAATGGTCAAGTGTCACCTGAAAACTATTCAACTGCTATAAATTTCAACAGTCCATTAAAATAACAGCATTCTACTAAAATAAGTTCCACCAACAGAATAGCATTAGAATTTAAGCAAAGGGGTCACTCTCATCGTTTAGAAGATATGAGTGAAGGAACAGTAGCTGATTCTAAAGGGAGTAAAAGGAAATTTCACTCTCTGCTTTTTAGTAAAATCCGAGTTTTCTACTCTAGGTTCCATGCTTTTTCTTGCATCTTCTTATGTAGTTGAATGTTTCAGAGTCATTGCCATTTCTTCAGGATCTGCTTGATAACAGTACTGATAGTTCGAAAAGGGACAAGCTCACTGGACAGCTCAACAGAAGTCTTTGTACTGATGTCTGCCAACTCATTATCTTTTATCCTTAGATGCCTGAGAAACCACCACTAAAGAATCTAATATGCATGGTTCCTTAAGCTTTTTTTTAGCTTTATATCTTTGCCAACAACTGGATTTTCAGTGCCAATACACATTTCTAAAACTTTTAACACACTAAACATGTCAAGGTATGTTATAAACTTCCTCTGAAATATGAAGGAAGGTGCAAAATATGTATCAGTTAAGTTAGATGTCATGACTGAACAAATGCCGAATGCAAACATCTGCCCTCTATATATGGTTGCCAATCACAAGGGATAACATGTGAATTCCATTCAACCCATCTGCACATATGAGACTACATGATAAATTCCATTCAACTCATCTGCACATATGAGACTGTAACAACTAGATTTAAGTATGTACTCTAAAAAAATTGTTATGATCCTGTTAGTACTTCTGGCACTAAAACAATGATAAACATTAAGAACCTACATGTGGGGATACTCCACAGGTAGGTGGTTTACCTGATTATAGCAAAGCACCCCTTGGCAGCTGGTCTGCACTTTGAAAGCAGGATTTCAAAATGTTTTACAGCTTGAGCATGTACATCCAACATGCAGTATTTCTTGATCAGGGAGTGAACCCTTACAGAGAAATAAGGCACCCAAGTTAGTCAACTAGGAAAATTTTGAACCTTGAAACATTTTCTTTAGTACATATGGAAGAAAAGTTAGCCTTTTTTTTTAACATTACTCCTAAAAACTTTATTTCAGATGTTAGGAATCAATGCACCTATTGCAGATGAAGCTCAAGCTCAGGATGGAGATTATGCTTGTTGCAAAATGCAAGTAATTTATCTGTTTCGGAAACATAAATCCATGAGTTTAAACATTTCTAGATCCCGTGAAAAGTGATCAGCAGCTGTCTCATTACATATCTCATATCTGCACCTTGATAAATTAGCTGGATGTCATCAACATACAATGACCCTGAGATGGCTGGAGGAAGTTCCTTTAGAAGAACTCATTTTTAAGCTGAAAAAAGTAACACTTGGTATACAGCCTCAAAAACATCTGGCTACACAGAACCAATTTCACCTAAAATACCCTAGGCTTTAAAAAATTTTATATGAATATTGTAAATTGCATGCAAGCCGACAACATGAAGATCATGCAAAATACTGTATCTCCATGCATCGCCATAAGCATCTTCCATGTCAAAAAACACAGAAATTAAATAGTTTCTTTTGACACAGGTTTTACAGTTGGAGGTTTCCAAAAGGAATTTTTTATTGATAGTCACTCTACATTTTATTGATAGTCACTCTACCTTTACAAAAACCACTCTAATACGGAGAGATAACATTCATGATCTCCAAGAACTGGACTAGGCAGCAGTTTACAATCTCTTCAAACAGCTGGCAAACACAACTTGTAAGAGCGATGGTCTGACAGTTGCAGGGATTCTTAGGACCTTTCAATGGCTTAGTTACAGGAGCTACAATCTATGCACTGGAAACTTTATGCACTTTCCAAACTTCACTGTAAAGAGCTAGAAGGGCAATCAATGACTTAAAGGAGAGATTATTCAGCATTTCAGAGCTCACACCATTATATCTATGTGTCTGTAACAAAGTTCTTGATAGTTTATAGCTTCACAAAGCTCTTGAAGAAGTAATATCATAATTATAAGGTTCCAAGTTGGAAGAACTCAATGTCACGGTAATTTTCTCACAGCCTAGTTTGGTAGAAAGAAATGCAAGAGGATAATTGCTGCCACTAGATGGCAGCAAAGGCCTCACCAAAGCTAGTCACAAATTCTTCTATAGTGCTAATCACTCAGCTACCTTACTTAAGGGGGGAAAATGAGTGGTCTTCATATATTCCACATGCTTTCCTGGCTCTTTCCCATACTCATTTAGTTGCTGTAAAGAATGTTATAAATGAGATATGATATCCATAAATCATATTTTTCTTGTTTTCCCTTTGGCTTTTTTTTTTTTTAAGCAACAAGATTTGACAAAAAGGAGTACCTACAAAATGTTCCCCCCCCCACACTTCTGCTTCCTAGCATACACAATTCCTCATTGGTTTTGAATACCTTGTTAGCTCTATTAATGTTATAGGTATAGAATTGTTATTAATGTTACAGGTATATATTAATTATCTGTTAATGTTACAGGTGCAGATTAACAGATTATAGCAGGCACTGCCATCACTGACAAGAACATAATTCACCACCACTTCTGCCAGCTCTACAATGGATGAGAAAAGTTCTGAGTCTACCCTATCGAACATGAAACAAATGCTTTATTCCTTCTCGTGCCAGAGATATAGAAAAGGGGAAAGAATCAAAACCATAAAAATTATCTCCCAATTTTTCTAAACTCAAGTTGCCAAATAAAAGATAAACTTGACAAATGTCAAAACTCATTATAAAAATTCACAAGTGACAGTGTCACCAAGTCGTTAAACAGCTTTGTTTCAGTTTTAATCAACTATTTAAAACTAGGCAGAAAAAGGAATCTTAGTTTGACAAATATTCTGAATAATTATCAGGGTTCATAGCCACATTTTAGTTAAACAAATAAGCACCTATAAGCACTTTTCAAGCACATTTTAAGGAAAAAATAAGCACCTGTCTGATTATACTATACACAACTGCATAACCTTAAAAGAAAAATTAGACTTGTAATTTAAAATATAAGCAATGCAATATTTATTAAGAAAACGAGCATTACCTCAACCATGGAAAACAATTAACTTTTTTTTTAGTTTTAAATGACAGTTCAATTTACAGAATTAGTTTACAATGAGAAGGAAAAAAAACTATGCAGAACTAAACTATATGATGAGTTAATGATGAAATTTCAGTTCAAAATATAGAAAATAAATAATAATAAGCCATATCAATTGTATTCGTTTGGCACCTAATAAAAAATACAATTTATTTTTCCACTCATATTAATATTTAAATAATTTAACTTAAATCAAAATTCTGAACAATTTCTAAATTTTCGTTGCATAACAGTTTTTCCTTAACAAATATTCCAAGCAAAGTAATTTAAGTAAAAAAGAGGCACATTTCTGAAATCAGAAGACGGGAAATTGCTTCAATGCAGTCATCCTTTAACAGTAAAAGCTTAACTAACCCGCATACTCGGAAAACTTGCCGAATATTCCGTATAGTCGAGCGTAACTGGAAAAAAGAGAGTGGGGGGAGATAGTAGCCGTTCTTTAGATTTCTCAGCTAAATAAATGATTTTGACATTTCGATATGTGCATCATATAAAAACAGACCAACGGAACTGAGAAATATTCTACTTAGAAAGCACAGAAAAACTCTTTTTAAGTGTTCATAAACAAATCTCAGACAGAACATCAAAATTAATTATCTCTGCAAAATACCGCAAATGTTATTGCGCAATACGTGCGGCATAATTTTTCCACATGTGATATTACACAATTGGAATCAACAGCTGCCGGTATTCGGAGAATAAAGAACTAAATTAAGGAAAAGAAAGAGACTTACTAATTTGGGGTGTTTCTGATTCTAATTTTCAACAGACTGCATTAAATTTCCGGAATAGAATCAATCTTCGCTTAGGTTGGGTAGACCGCAAAAACTTTTAGTCCTATTCAATCCAGATTGGACAGTGTGGGTGTGTGGGGGGGGGGGGGAATCCGCTGCTTCAATATTAGAGATTTTGCGGAGAAAGTGGAGAACCTCCCAACATCCGTACTGTATAATGTATTGGGGGGGGAGCAATTATTTTGACTATTCGATTACCTTCCTTTCATTTAAACCATTCCGAATATTATTCCCTAGAAAGCTAATCTGTGTAAAAACACACCCATTTTTGGAAGTTTATCTATACTTCAGCAGTCACTGCAACTATATTATTATAAATATTCATGCATATACTCATAATATAAGCATAACGATCATAATAAACACGAATATGAACTGACCACGCGGAACGAGAATGCAAATTATTAAAATCTTGATAGAAATTCAAACGTGTGTAGTATTTGGGCGGGAGGAAAAGAATACCGAATGTAACGGAATTTTCTACCATTTTCGCAATTATTTGACCAATAGAACGACGTGCACCTGTCTGTACTCTCGCACGCACCATAAGTTATGGTAATGCAGAGAAAGGGGGGAAAAGCAATTTCCAGGAGTATGATTCACCATCTGACATTGCATATAAGGAAGAAAAGTTGTTTATTTAGTTTCGGCTTCGGTACGGGAAAAAAATGCACGTTCATTAAAAAAGAAGATTAAAAAAAGTACTAAAAGCAAAAAATAAGAACTAAAAACAAAAAAAAATAAGGGCTTTAAAGAAAAAGTAAGCACCTATAAGGACCTTTATATTTTATTTTTAAATATAAGGACTTATAAGCACTTGTAAGGACCGCTACTACGAACCCTGATTATTTATTGTGAGGGTGATCAAACAGACATCTTGATAGGTCAAATAATTTGCAGAAACATTATTAACAGTTCATAAATAAATTTTTGCATGTTCTTAATTAAAAAGCTGTGAAAATACTTATTTTTATGTTCTTCCCATTTTTTTATTAAAACAGTTAAATTGCACTGCTGCTTTGAAAAATATTTTTTCTCATTGTTTCATGTTATCAAAATAACTGTGGACAAACATGATCAAATTAAGTGGAACATACTGTCGTCAGCAATCAGGTTCACTTTAATTATCATTTGTTTATGTGCAGCAGTTTGCTTATTCAATCCAAGTATACACCTTTCAATGAATCAAAAAATGAAGGGGAACTTCGTGGCCATAGTTTCTAATGGAATTTATTGGACTGACTTCACTACATATCAAAGCCATGAATGTTCCCTAGTATCATTTTTTGGGGGCAGGGGCTTCCTTAGTTGGGATTGTGATGTTATAACGCCATCATTTTTCTATTTCACCTCTATCCCTTTTACTGTTGCATCTAGTACCAGAAACATGTCAACAATATTGTGGATAGAATGAAAGAATTAACGGAAACCAATAATCATGCAGTTTGAATCTCACTCAGTTCTTGTTGAAAACCTGTTTTGACAACTATTACTAATATACATTTCTACTAAACACAAGCAGTGATCAGTCATTAATGACAACACAATGTATATATAATATATAATATGATTCTAAAAACTATTTATTATGAAAATATCAAATTAATAAAAAGTAATATAGTTAACAGTTACAAATGTGTAAAACATATAATTAGAGTAATTTTAGAGCAATTTTAGAAGTGTCACATATTTTGAACAAAATTCAATGACCTAAAACAAAACACAAAGCAAGGATAATGCATTACATATATAATTACACTTAAGCTGGAGCATAAAAAAGAGAAAAATTACCTAATGCAACTCTTGCTGATGTAGCTTCATGATTGATCCAAAAAGATACCCACGATAGCATAACAATCAGGATGCAGGGTAAATATGTTTGAAAAATGAAATAGCCAATGTTTCTCTTTAATTCAAAGCTTAACGAAAGTCGCTGATAAGTGCCTAGATTTTAAAAAAATAACAAAATTTTAAAAAATTACAGGAAATATGTTGCACAAATTTTTATATTTTTAAGATACATTTAATTAGCCTTTCCAAGGTGATGTTTTTGGTGACAATGAAGATTCTAAATATGCTTGCATTATTTCTATGGTTACATTCAATATTTCATAATATTTTTATTTTAGACTGTCAAATTTAAAATGCATTTCCACCATTCTGACAACTCAAAAATCTGCAAAATATTGCAATGAATTAAAATACCTTTAAAAACCATTTTAGATTAGTACTAGTGTAACGGCAAGTATCGACATTTTATCATACTGTTACATTATTAATGTAAAATATAAAAACATGCAAAGATTTTTTTTTTTTTTTCAAAATGGCAGGCACTCATCTACGCCGCCATCATCCACTCCTAAGGCCATATCAGTGGTCTCTTTATCATGGAGGCACCTAATAGGTGGGCCACCACTGCCTCCTATGAAGGGACAGACAATTTTTACATCCATGCCTTCTCTCGAATTCAAACCCAGGCCCTTCGGTATCACAGTCAGGCTCCCCTAACCACTATACCATCTGGGTGACCAAACATGCAAAGATTAAATGCATATAATATGTCAGTTAAAAATTTAGCCACAGATGACTACTAAAATTTTTAAATCTTGACTCTGTATCAAAAGACTTTTAACAGAAGACCACTATCTGTTTCAAAGACAAAGCATCTTATAATGTCTGTTTCGATAAAACGGCATCTGAATTCGGACCATTTTGAATAATCCTATACATAATTGTTATTTATAGACATTCAACCAAATCAAATCATTAGATAGTGTACCCTATAGCTCAGGGCTACAAATACTCTGCTTTTCATGGCTTACTGACATTCTGTTATTGTAAATTACTGCATATTAAAACACAAACTGCTAATGATTTGTCTTATATGAATGTGCTTATTTGAAGGTGCACATTCATTATTTATGTCTTATTTGAATATGCTTACCAAACTGTAATTCACATAAAGCCATTTCTTTATTCTTAGTGAATTATTGTTCTGACTAAAATCATTTCACACATACAGATAAAAACCTCAACAACACTGTATTTATCCACTCTTGGTGAGTCACAATTGAAGATAGACTGTATAACACAAAAAAGATCTATTAACATCGATAATAATATTAACAAATTTAGGTAATTTATCTTTTATAATTTCAGTTATCAATGCTCAAATTTTAGTATGACAACTCCAAAATTCTTTTGTCTGAAAGCAGTTACTGAAAATAATAAACAACTAGCTAGTACTCTCATTAATACTTCAGCTTTAGTCTGTGACCTTTTAAGTGATTAGACAATAGAAACCATGTGTAGTGCTCTATAGAAACTTGATAACTGAAATACTGGAGAGGTTACCTAAATTTGTTAACATTTTTATCATTAACTTAATTATCTCTTTTTGTTTTACACTTTCTAGTTTCAAATGTGACCTACCAACAGTGGATAAAGTGCTATTGAGTTTTAACCTGTGAAATTATTTTAGTCAGTTTAATTCACTAACAAATAAACAGCTCTGTATGAAGTACAGTTAGGTAGGCATACTTGTAAAAAACTAATCAGTAGCAGATTTACAGTGGCACCTGAATTAAAATGTAGTAAATGATAATTCATCACTACTTGGATTTGGTTGTCTGGGTTTCCTGCCTCTCCTTATCATTATTTTAAGTGGGGGGAGGGTACATAGAATTATTATATTCTCCCATTCCTGCTCTCATCATGTAAATCAGGAGTTCTCAACCAGCGGTTCGTGTACCACTGGTTGAGAACTTTGAGAGTTTTAAGTGGTTGAGAGTTTTAAGTACGTGTACCACTGGTTCAGAACACGATTTATGTGATCTGATCGATCTGAGCTTATTCAAGAGTGGTGGTGGTGGTAGTAGTACTTTGTACTGGTGGTACTAAAGGTGTTCAATTTTTTTTAGATGGTACACGTTAGTCAAGAGGTTGAGAACCACTGATGTAAATAGTTTGAATCCTGAAAAGAGCACAGTTACCTTTTCATGTCTTAAAAAATTTGATTATTAACTACAACATTATACTTAGTAAGTAGTCTGGATTCTTTTACATTGTCTTTAAATTACCTCCAAAGTATTTTCTGGTGGTTTTATTTTTATTGCTCATTTTCATTTGCTAAAGCACGTCATCATGCCAACAGAAATTGTGACTAAAAATATGCAAAATCTAAGTGAAATGTGGTAATTCGCTCCTATAACTCGTCCACCTTTTCCTAAATCTGGCAACAGCAACAGCAGCGAGATACTTCTTCAAGCTGCGTGAGGAAATCGACAGACTTGCATTCCGATGAGGTTAGAACACGGTGATGGATACAACTGAACTATGCCGCTCGAAAGATGTAATTCCGTTTCATGACGAATCAAACTTTTTATCTTACTTCCTTTCACTTTGTACATACCATAATCATGTTTATTCTTTCATCATTAAATACCTTTAAGAATGTCACTGCCTTCCTCTATTTTAATCCTAACCTCATCCCACATGGGGGCTCGGCCCCTGGAACTCTTCCACCCTTTGAACTAACCACCCTAGACACCACTATATAACTATCAATGATGGAATACTTTGAAAACCTATGGAATAATATCGCAAGATTCCCGTTGTTGTGATTCGTCAGCACATAAGTACTTCTAATTTTATTTGATGAAGTAATACTAATGAGGAAGTAATATTCTTTCAAGTTATTATGAATATTTGATGACGCCTTTTTATGAAGTTTATTTGAAGAAGCGAAAGGCATTTGATTTTGATGAAAATTCATTTACTTTGGAATGATTATTACGTTGACGAATTAACACTTCCGTTTTCAAATTTGATGTTGATGATAATTAATTAAACAGCTTTGATGAAGTTTAATTGAATAAACTAAAGGTATTTGATTTTGATGGAAATACATTACTGACTATTTACAGAACTGTCATATATTAAAAAAGTTACTTTGAAGAATTACTTTCGTTTTCGAATTTGGTGCATAAATTTCTTATTTCTTGTGATGCCTATATTTTCCAAGAACTGTACAATATTATTTTAAGTTATTAATTTTTATATCATATCTTAACGTGAAATTCTATCTTTCATTCTTAACATAGTCTTATATGAAGATTTGTTTGGCGATATATTTTACCATTTGTTTGAATCATATGTTCACAATTTCATTTATGATTTTTGAGTGTTTCAACATCATAGTTATTGTGTAATATACTAAGAAGAATTAATATTATTTTGAAGAATATGAAAAATTTAAGAGTATATTTTGGTATACTAATTTCTGAAACCAGATAAATAATATTTGATGAAATCGAAACATATATATTTTGTGGAATTTCATATTTGGTAAAAACAAAACTGATAAATAATGGCTACACTTAACGATTATCCCAACATTGCACGGTCATTAAAAACTGCCAGTACCAAGCATATCAAGCTTTTTCATCGTTTAGTTTTTGGCTCAGATGGTGATCGGCAGAATCGTGCTAGGTTACGCAATTTTTCTGGTTTTCCCAAACCATTTAACTTTGAAGAAACGAAACAAAAAATTATAAAAGACTTTTCTCTCACAGATTTAATTGCCATATGTAGCATACTGCATTTAGAATTTTCCACCGATATTGAAAACTGTGACAAATAAACTGAATCAATTTGAACAAGCATGTGCTGATCAAGCAAACGAGAAAACACCTGCTAAAAGTGCAAAAATTCCCAAAGAACAGAAAAATAATCTAAGGAAACAACTTGTCTCTGACATTCCAGTTGAAGCTTTCAAGGCAAAAAAGAATGCTGAAATATTTGGAAGAACAATTACTGTTTAATACACTTTATCTGCTTCACACCCAAAGAAACACAAGAAGAGAGCCTGGAAGTATAAACGAAGAAAATTTAAATCGACTTCAAAGAAAATAACATTGCTGCCACAACATGATGATGACAAAGCTGCATTATGCATTGAAGCTCAACGGAACCTCCTCCATTTACAGCAAGCACATATACGACAGTATAAGAAATATCGCAAACCTGCCTGCAAATACAAACTTGGACACCAAATGCCAATCCAGCCTGAAATGAAACTTCCACTTCGACTTGAACTGAAACTTGGACTTAAACTTCGTCCCAAATTCTTCGGTCTTTATGAGACAGTTCATCCCTCTGATTATTACGAAGTACGAAAGATACGCCATGAAGACACCATTATGATGTCAACCTGTGCTAATAAGATGAACTAACATTCGCCAGGTGCACAAAGCTAACATTCGCCACCTGGACATTGATTTTTGTTTTTCACTTTCTCTGCTTTTTTTTTTTTTTTTTTCTTTCTTTTCAGATCATCCCCCAGGCGAGGACGCCCGGCAAGGCAGAATGGCCGTGTGGTAATTCGCTCCTATAACTCATCCGCCTTTTCCTAAATCTGGCAACAGCGACAGCAGCGAGATACTTCTTCAAGCTGCGTGAGGAAATCGACAGACTTGCATTCCGATGAGGTTAGAATACGGTGATGGATGCAACTGAACTATGCCGCTCGAAAGACGTAATTCCGTTTCATGACGAATCAAACTTTTTATCTTACTTCCTTTCACTTTGTACATACCACAATCATGTTTATTCTTTCATCATTAAATACCTTTAAAAATGTCACTGCCTTCCTCTATTTTAATCCTAACCTCATCCCACAGAAATATATAAAAACTCTTGCCAGATATTTGAATCCGCTATTAGTACAGCGTTCATAGCCACATTTTAGTTAAAAAAATAAGCACCTATAAGCACTTTTCAAGCACATTTTAAGAAAAAAAAATAAGCACCTGTCTAATTACATTATACACAACTGCATAACCTTAAAAATTAGACTTGTAATTTAAAATATGAGAAATGCAGTATTTATTAAGAGAGAATAAGCATTACCTCAACCATGGAAAATAATTACTTTTTTTTTTTTT